TGAGAAAAGTAAGACACTGGGAATGTAGTAATGGCAGAGGAAATAACTACCTGCAGCTGGTGAGAAAGCCTTAGAGAGAGAGAGAGAGAGAGAGTGGGGGGAAGGCAAGGGGAGGGAGAGAGGGGGGCAGGGAGACAGACTGAGGATGTGGAAAGAAGAGACAGGGAAAGAATATTTGAAGTGTAACCTTCCGTCTAGGAAGCAAACTCAGGAGAAGCGATCTGGTAAAATTTAGGGATTAAGGAATTTGAAGACCTATTTTAAGGGATTACGCACTTCAAAGGTAAGGGAAAGTTAAATCAAGGGTTTTGCTCAGGATCTCTAGGAAACACTAGTATATCCTGAAACAAAGAAGGGCAAATTACTTGAGTCACAGTACTAAGAAGTGTAATACTTGTTCCTGTTTTCTGTAGTGGGTACCAATTAAAATTAAAACATACAAATCTGTGAAGATATAGATGATCAGCTCAGTGCAAGAGTGTCACCTGAGGATTTGAGGAGGTCACATGACTTTCTTTTGCACTTGTCCTTTCTTTACTGCCTTTGCTGGACCTTTTTGAATGTGCGGCCTCTAATTGTGAAAGTGTTCTAGACTTAGTCTTCACAGTTTGAAATTTCATCAGTGATAACCTCCACGTTTATATCTCTTCTTCTGTGAACTTCACACTCGTGTAACTGCCCGCTTGACATTTCCACCGCAGGCTAAAAGACATCGCCGGTCAGTGTGTCCACGCAGAACTCTAGATTTGCCCCTGTATTTGCTCCTTCTGAAGTTCCCATATCTTAGTAAATGGCAGCCATTCATTCTGAAGCTCACATCAAAACCTTGGCAATCATTTTTAAAGTATATATAGAAAGACTTTATTTTCCAGAATGACTGTTTAAACTTATACTAAACTTTAGCAGATAGTATGAAGATTTTCCACTTAAATCCATCATTTCCTATTATTTCATCTTGCATTGATGTTACATTTGTTTTAATAAGTTGACATTAATACATTATTATTAAATAAAACTCATAGAGTTCATGCTTTGTATTATATAATTTTGTGATTTTTGACAAATACATAGTGCCATATATCTGCAATTGCATATAAAATAGTTTCAGTGCTCTAAAAATCTCCAGTGCTTCAACAAAGTTGCTCAGATTACCAGATGTAAGAATGCAAGATTGATCAAACTGTTAAGAGAATAAAAAATAAAACATCATAATAATCATCTAAGAAAAAGTTTATCCCCTGCTGATAGTATTCATTTTGTATCACAAACATGTACTAATAAAAAGAAATTTTTAAAAAATCTCCAATCTCCAAATCTCCAGTGCATCCGTTCATCTCTGCCCACTCTGAGCCTCCACCCCAGCAGCTTTTGAACTTTTCACTTCCTCTGTGGTTTCAACATTTCGAGAATGTTACATAGTTGGAATCATATAGAACCTAGCCTTTCTAGATTGGCTTCTTTTAGCAATATACATTCTTGCCATTTTAGGATTGTTTATTGGGGGAGGGAGTTAGCTAATTATTTTATGGAGTGGTTTGTCATTTTTTAATCTGTAATTTCTTTTTTCCAGTTTTTATTCTTTATTAGTGCATGTATGTATTACATAATGATTATATTACTTGTGGGGAGTTGGTACACACACATAACACATCTCAATTCTTGTTTTCATGCCCTCTCCCAATCTCCTGATCCTCTTTGTCTCAAGAAAAGGACTATATTAATGATGGAATAAAAAATTACTAGAATTGATTTGTTCAGGACATCACTAGAGGTATTCTTTGTTATGGGCTTTAATACTAAAATGCTGCATATTTTTATGACATGTACTGCATTATTATTTCCCTGTAATTTAAAATCATTTCTGAAAGCATACACTTTATTTTAAGTTTATGTTTATAGTCTTCTAATGACACCTGTTTTGTTTGAGCCCTGAATAATGGTAAACTAATTTGCAACTTGGATTCCCTTTACATCAGGATGTATGTCCTCAACTTACCTCTGTTGGGGAAACCTACTGCTTGTTGGTGAAACCCCCAATTCTAGCAGCTTCTTTCAATTGCAACAGCATTTTTTCAGTCTTATGCTAAAAAAAGACCCAAATTTATTTATTTTAGCAGAATGACTTCCCACTGAGGTGAAGAGCCACACAAGCACTGCTTGTTCAATAAATCCCCTCAAGATTATAGCTGCTTTGATTTAAAAAAAAATTTTTTTTAACTAAGAAGGCCTTGGCATGACTCCCAGTGCGGGGACTCTGTCATCCCTGAAATTTTTCTTCAGGGCTGAGTTTGTAGATGAGTACAGCCTCCTTGGTGCTCTGGTACTGAGTTAATTTTGCATTGTGTTTCAGAGTTGCATTAAGGGATATCGTTTATTTATAACATGATGAGGCAGATGAAAGAGTTGGTGTCTTTCATGGAAAAGCCTGCAGCATGTACCAGTTCGGCCGCTTGAGAGCAGGCGGTACTACCTTCTGTGAACTCTAATTAATACTAATTTTATTCTGCGATGCACTCTACTTTAACAACATGTTTAGCTGAAAGTAGTATTTTCTTCACCCTTTCATCCTCACTGTAAATCTCCAGAGATTACTTAGTCTCTAACCTAGGATCATTACAGAAAAATCAATGTTAAAATTTATGGGATGCATTTAAGTAGCTTGGACTAAACACATGAGTTAGCTAAACAGTGTTCACCATGGGTTTGTATCACACTTGTCCAGTCAGCTGTATTAAGCTTTGGAATCACCCTTTTCATTTTCAGTTTGGAGAGCTCACCTATGAACAGTTATTTGAAGGAAACATCTGCTATGAACGTAAAAATATATTACTTTTAATCAACGGCTATAGTTATTATTGATGTATCTCTTTCTTTAGATGTGATTTTTTTTCCCTTAAGATTTATCTGAGTTAAAAAATTGAAATTCTTATTATTAATATACAGGGCATTTTCCCTTGTAGATTTCTGTGCCTTATAAATTAAAATTTCAAATTTACAGGTGATAAAGTGAGATAATGCATAGTGTTCTAGTAATACTTCTCCATTCTTGGCCATCTTTACAATTGTTTATGATACTTTAAGGGTAACTTAAGAACTTGGAATTTCAGAACTGTTATTGTTGCTAATAAGAAAGTTCTTGACTGAGGAAAAATACTATTAAAAAAATAGACTAGAAAAGGTCCTAAACAAGAAACTGTAATCCCTCCCAAGTGTGCTTTCAGCAAGAGAGGTAGATACACTGTTGTCAGTTGTCACTGTGAAGAGTCTCTGCTGGTTTTGCTCCCACACACTGCCCGGTGGTGTAAACAGGAGTGCAGAGGTGGGAAGTTCCATCTCGTTCCACAGTGATCTCCCTCACCTCTGGAAACAGAGCCCCCTTTACAACACTGAGCTAATTTTCAAACCTTAAGGCTTCCCACATGGGTGTTTTGAGTAAGTCTGAAAATGTTTCGCTGTTTATACTAAATAACTTTGAAAACAAAATATCAATTGTAGCTGAAAGAAGAGTAGTGAATGAGTTGGAAATTTCTATCCAAAATTTCAGTATATGAGCTCGAATTCGCATACAGTGACCCTAGGAAAAAACAGCTGTGCTCCCCCCTTGGTTTGAACAATATTGAAGAACAGAAAATGTGTAGAGTTGTCTTACACAGTTATTTTCTTCTCCATGTCCCACTCTCATCATAGTCTACTGGTTAGAGATGTTCAGAGAAATTATATTTAACTTATGGCATTGCAATGATTTCTATGTGCATTTTGTACTGAGTTTTATGTATATTGTATACTGAGAAGTAACTGGGATGCATATGACAACAGAAGATTTAAATATATTAAAATTTTAGTCAGGTCATGGTCTGTTCTCTTCTTCTTCTCCTTCTCCTTCTTCTTTTCTTTTTTGATACAATATCTTGCTGTGTAGTTTAGGCCAGTCTTGAAATAACTGTGTTGCACAGGCTGGACTGGAACTCACAGTGACCCTCCTGCCTCAGCTTCCTAAGTGCTGGAATTACAGATGTGCGCCACTATGCCCAGCTTGTTCTTTTTCATCTTTGTAGAAAAAATTCAAGATGGATGGCCTCACAAAATTGATCTTTTCTGTGACTATTAATTTGCCACTTTTGAGAAAGGAACATATTTACACTAAAAGATTTGCATTGATGAAATAATCAGAGTATCCTGTCTTTTTTCAGGGTATCACTTCCCGTCAGTGTTGGGGTATGAAGTTTCTGATTAATGACTGAATGTTTCTGAATCTCTAACCTAAACTACTTATGTGAACAGAATAAAACTCACTGTCCTGCAGCTCAACATGGGTGGAAATTATTGTTTAAGGACTAAGTCAGTTTTGGGGGATTTGGTATACATATTTCAAAAAATAAGCATATTCTATACTTCCACTAATGGCACAGTGTAACTTAGTATGTTTGGGTTAGTATTTGTTTTTAACACTAACCATGGAGGAAAATACCACTGTGTCTCAGTTGGCAGAGTAGCAATGCTAGTGTAGCTGCTGTGTAATAATATTTGTATTCAGGGACGGCTTGACATTTTACACAGCTCTTTTGTATACACTACTTCACTGATCCTTATGATAATCTTATCTTGTGCTAATTATAAACCCTATGTACAAACATGAGGAAAATGTTCATTGCAGTCTATTTTTTAAACTAAGAAACCTGAATACAACTTGTTCCACCATAAAGTACCAAGTTGGAAAATTAAAAAATTAGTACCCCTGGTCCATAGATGTACAAAACCCTATTAGTGTCCCATTTTGTAGGTTCTTAAAACACAGTTGATCAGGAAGGTTAAGGGAATGCGTTTGTAAAGGACTGAAAGTCGATACATAGCCCTTATTTGCTATGGGAGAGGACAGCTCTAAATGTATAGGTTTGAGTCTTTCCTTAGCATGATTACCTACCTTTTCCTTAAGATTTTACAATATGTTATCACTAATTAAGGGACTGTGACTCTTAAATGTGTTGTATCTTTATTTTTAGGATAAGAGAGATCTTGAAGGCATCTCGAAAATTACAAGGTGATCCAGACTTGCCAATGTCTTTTACTTTGGCTATAGTGGAGTCTGATTCTACAATAGTCTATTATAAACTTACAGATGGATTTATGCTGCCAGACCCTCAGGTTAGTTTTGGGGTGATTGACAGTAAACAGTGAAAAAAGAAGAAAACTATGGCATGATTTTAAGTGCAAATTAAGTCACTTATAGAACTTCTGCTTCCTTTGCCATGTGAAGATTTCAAGAAAAAAAAAATGGCTTGATTTTCCTACCTCATAAAACTGCTTATATTTTGTACAAAGTAACATCTTTCTAATTATTTTTAAGAAAGTAATTTGATTCCCCTTCTGTATGGAGAATCTCAGTTCCTCAGAATATTTCATGAAGTCATTCATTGTCTGTTTAATTCTTTAGTGAGTAACTGAAGTGGAATGTAAAGGCTAATAATAGTTTTAACCAAAAGAACACTTATTTAGGAAATTTATATGGGTTGACATTTTGACAGGAACATTTTAATAAAATAAATGTTTTACATGGGATTTCTTTACATACTTTGTTGGGATAATTATCTGAAGTATATTAATTTTGCTTTTAAATATTATTTACTGAGTAAAGGGTCCATCCTAATATTTTCCCCTTTATTTTGCAGAATATTTCCCTTAAAAGATGACATCTACACTTCTTGGTGCTTATTTTATTCGTAAGAGATTGGATTTGAGACCTATCAACCTGCTTCACCTTTCCTCTCAGAGACTGACTCAGATTTTATCTCAGGGTTGACTTAGTTGGTCCCATTCCATAATTTTTATTTCTGAAGAATAAAATTTTCCCAGATAGATGAATTTGTATTACTCAAAAACATAGAGCAGCTGTTAGGAACTTTCTTAATAGAGACAGCTGAAGTACAGTTGTACACAGGTTAAGTCATGGTTCTGTGCAGAGAGGTGGAACACGTGTGTGTCATCTGTCGTCCCATACTCAGCTACCACTGCTAGGTCACTGCAGAAGCTACAACCCCTGTCCCTAGCCCAGCTTTCCCAGTGCCTTTTGCACTCTAACTAGCTTGGGTGGTGCTTCAGATGCATTTTGACCTCGCAGAGTTTACTTTTGCCTGTGTTTTCCTCCTTCATAGAAAGTAGAATGTTTCTTTCAGTTGGTTTATTTTCTTGCTATACTTTACTGCTACTGTACTTCTCTGCTTGGTTGACTTTGAATCAAAACTGAAAATACGCTCATAGAGGCTGCAGATTTACATACCTGCGTTAATAGGGACCAGAGAAATGCTACCTACAAGAGTACTGGTCTGCCTTTCCATTCTTTCCACCACCATCCTTGGCATATCAGAGCTGGAAGATTTTAAGAGAGAGTAAGGGAAAGTATCAACCCTAAAAATGCCTTTATTAATTAGATCCAGTTATTCCACTTTTATTAAATTGTACAAAGTATGAAAAATTATATACACAAAGATTTTCCAAGTGATATTACCTTTAATAGCCCAAAAGAAAATGTTTTAGGCTTTCTTTAACAGTCTGTCATTACTGCTGTTTGAAGCATGAAAGTAGTCATAGACAAATGGGCATGGCCATGTTCCAATAAAACTTTATTTACAAATTTGAGGCTATAATTTGCTGTCCCTTAGTTTAGGTAAATGTCAATAATCAGATATCTATGAATGGTGTTTTATGCAGTCATTAAAAATAGTGAATATGGGGGGCTGGGGATTTAGCTCAGCGGCACAGCTCCTGCCTGGCAAGCGTGAGGTCGTGAGTTCAATTCCCGGTACCGGAAGAAAACAAAAAAAAAAAAAAAAAAAAAAAAAAAAAAAAAAAAAAAACCAAAAACAAAAAATAGTGAATATGATGAAAAACATACATGAGAAAATGTTATGTTAAATAAAAATAGCAAGATACACAACTATGAATGAGTGTAATCATGGTTTCTCATGTGATTATATGTTTGATGTGTCATGGTAAATGACACATCAAACATGATAAAAAGATGGTGAAGTAAGTCAAATTGCTTGCTGTGGTTATAGTAGGCTGGCATTGCAGTAAGTAGATGACCGTCTTTCCTCAGTATTTCATTTTTTATTTGTATTACTTTTGTAATAAAAATATTTCAAAGTAAGAAAGTATCTTTAATCTGTGTGTTACCTATCATTGCATAGTAATATTAGCAATTTAAAATAGCACACATTTGTGATCTTGTGGTTTTCATGGGTACGTGACCTGGGCATGGGTTAGTTCACTGCAGTTGAGGTGTCGGCAGGGCTTCATTCTCTCCTGATGTGTGACCAAGAAAGGATCCTCTTTGTAGTCATGTGGTTATTAGCAGCCCTCCATTCCTTCTGAGTGCCTCAGTTCCCAATGATACGACAGACGACCTCCTTGGCTTTATGCCACATGGGCCATTCCAACACAACTGGTTCCTCTGTCAAAGGAGCAAGGGAGAGTGAAGCTTGTAATCTTGTATAGTGTAATCATCACCTTTGCCACATTCCACAGAAGCAAGTCACAAGCCCCACCCATACCAGGGTGTCCTGGGTGATCAGGAAGCAACAGTAATGAGAATGGAAACATGACAGAAGTTAGAAACATTACAAAATGCTATAAAACATTATTCTTGGTCTGTAGTTATTCCGGGCTCCTTTCTTTTGATGGTAATTTGGGGTTGACTTTTATTCTTGATGAAAGATATTCACAACTCCTTTAGACTCCCTTTGCTTCACCAGAAGCCCTGAAGATGCATCTATTCAGAATATGTTCTTCTGGGCAGGGATATAGCTCAGCGGCACAAGTGCCTGCCTGGCAAGTGCAAGGTCCTGAGTTCAATTCCCGGTACAAAAAATATATATATATATTATGTTCTTCTGTGACACCAGGGGGCAGTTTGCAGATCCAAAAACCCTAAAACACTGTATGATAAATTCCTAGGATCTCTTAGTTCCTCTACTGTCTCATTGGATTCTGTTTGAGGACTTTTATTACAGTGCTAGCAAAACTGTCTACATTTTCAGGTAGAAGTGGAAAACTTTTCTCTTTTTTTGAAACAAGGTCTCACTGTAGTTCAGGCTGGACTTGAGTTCACTGTGTACCTCAGTCTGGCCTCGAACTCGCAGTGATCCTCCTGCCTCACCCTCCCAAGTGTGGGGACTATAGCCATGTGCCACCACACGCAGCTGAAGTGGAAAATTTAACAAATGTCAGATTTGTGTGTCAGGTCTGGTGACCAATGGGCCCCTTGGTAACTAGAAGATCAGAAGAGTCTTGGGTTTGGCTGTGAAAGGTACTTTCTCAAATCATTAAATCCAGGACTTAATGCCGTTGTATGTCCTGGGATGTTTACTCTGTTTCAGAAAGTTCCCTGTGTACTTAGCTGAAGTTGCTCTGTCCAAAGCCTGCTAATGTGAATAATGGCCCAGCACAGGTTGGAAAGGGAGGCAGCCATCTGTGTCTGTCTTATTTTAGTGAAAAACTAGGTGAAGTGATTTAAGTAATTTTATAATTAAGTTTACATTTGTCTGCCTTGTTAGACTATGAGCTCCTTAAGAACAGAACAAGAAGTCATGTCTTTTAAAAACACATCTCTATATCCTGCCACTTTCCACAGTAACTAGCACATAGTAGACTTTCAATAAATATTTGTTGAACAAATAAATGCTAATTATAGACTTGTTTGGTTATATTGCGGCTTGCTTTTTACCCGAAGGCAAACGCAAATGGTCCACTGAAACACTAGAGGGCACTGCTAGATCAGCACATTGTCAGGGTCTAGGCAGCGATCAATGTATTCTTGAAGGTTTATTTTCAATCTGTGGGAAGTAGCGTCAATAAAAATATAAATAAGTTTCATGTATTCACACCCCTCCTTTCTTTCTGGAAGATCTCTAAAATTACATTCCCTTGGCATTAAATATGAGTTGATTCATGCCTTGCTCAAAGTGTAGATCTATATTTAAAAATGAAAGCCTTTCTGAGATGGGGGTGGGTGGAGTGGGGTGTTTTATTATAGTCTATGGTTTTGTTCATATCCATGTGAAATTGTGCATTTCATCTTTCTGTGCAAACGCTTGACTTTTTCAATGAATTTCAGCATCAATCACATTAGCAAGAAACCCCAGCTCTGAAACGCTCATCGCATTGGCTAAATACCAGTGGTAAAAGACATGAACTGCTGCTATCGTACACTCGAACCTTTCCGTGAATGTGTCGCCCTCTCACTGGGACAGGAGAGCGGGAAAGGGCTTGGGAGGGGTTCTCTGGGTGCTGCGATGGCTGTGCCTTCCTGGAGTCCCCGATCTGTGTGTCTTCACGGGGAGGCTCAGGGAATCAGGGGATCAGCCTGGTGCAATGGCTCTGGACTGACTGACTTTGCTTCTCCTACCTGGGCCTCTTTCGAAGAATGTATTTTAAACATCATAAAACTATAAAAAAAAAATGTGAGAACAGAGGTACTGTGGAATGCTAAGCTACATTTTGAATAGGAAGGTAATCTCCTATAAAGTTCGTGTAATCTGTATTTTTTGGCTGAAACAACTTTATAGTTTTACAAGCCTGGAACCAAATGGCTTAATCTAAACTTCATAGTGTTTCTTCTCTTTTGGAACATTTCTGCGTTGAATTCCTCTCTGAGGTCACTTTTTCCACGAGCCCCTAGCAGGAGGCCTCTTCACTGCTATTACACACTGGTTCCTGCCAAAGTTTATAGTTCTTCCATCCAGGAGCTCTTTATTCACCAGCCGTGTTTCACCTTGACTGTTTACAGAACAATGTGATATCCTCTGAACAACTAATAGTACAGTTTCCCTTTTTCTGGCCAATAACTATTTATCCTCCCTGCTTCCATTAGCCTAATCTTCTTAATGATATTTGAGTAAGAAGCGCTTGTGCTTGCTATGCAGAGGCTGGAAAATCACACGTCTGTGGAGATGTTAGAATGCCTAGCTGTCTCATACTATTACACTACTGAGATTATTCGGGAAAATCTCTCCAAAACCAATGCAAGCCACATTGAAGATTAGCTTTTTGGTTTGAGGGTTCCTGAGAGGAGATAATATTAAATATTTGGTTGAAGTTCGCATCATTCATTTATTAATTTATTTTCTGCATTTAACTGGTATCTTAGCTCAGCCAGCCATAAAAAAATTACTACAGACTGGGTGGCTTAGAGCAGAAATATATTTTCCCATTGTTCTTGAGGCTGGAAGTCTCAGATCAAGGTGCTCGCTGGTTTAGTTCCAGGGCCCTTTTCCTGGCTTGGGGCCATCTGCCTTCTGCCTCTGTCCTCACTCAGCCTTCCTTGTGTTGCATGCAGAGCGATTGTGCCCTGGGGTCTGGCTCTCTTCTGAGGACAGCAGCAGTATCAGATTAGGGCTCTACTCTTGTGACTTCATTCAATCCTAACTCCCCGAAGGCCCTGTCTTCAAATCCTGTCACATTGGGTGTTAGGATTTGGAGCAAGTGTATATAATACAGTCCGTAACTACTGGGCTCCTTCTATGTGCTTAGATACTGTTATAAGTGCTGGTGATGCAAAGGTTAGCCCTACCTTCAAGGGACTCAAGTGCCAATTACAGCTCCCCTTAGCCCAAACTCTAGAAGTACGTTGTCTGTGTGAATTGAGGAGTACTTGTCATGCATTGTATGAAGTTTATTTAGTTTATACAGTTTATGTTTTACGGTTTAAAAACTTTGGATGAGCAGTTTTCAAACAGTAATTATGTGTGTATTATGTATCCCACCAGATACAAAGAAAAATTGCATAGTACGCCTTTTGAGGCACTTGTCCAACTAGAAAGGAGAAAATCTGTTTATGAAATAATTTGAGGGCATTATGAGGCAGTGTTTTGTATAAATGCTAAATTATAATTGTGTTGCACTTTATTTACTGAAGTGCTTCTGTACCCTTTATCTTGATTCTCACAACAGTGCTGATGTTATTTATTTACTGTTAAATTATCCTCAGAAGAGGGAGAAATTAGGGCACCAAATGAGTGGGGTGGGTACAGAGAATTATAGCCAGGTCTCCTGACACTTAACACGCAGTTTTCCAGAGTACCACACAGCATCTTGTATGGCACAGATAAATACAGTAATGCATGTCAAAGAACACTTGGGAGGAAAGAAAATTAGTCCCAAGGGGCGATAGGAAGTGGTTTAGAGATCAGTCATATTATCCTCTTATATTGTTAAATGTATCAAAATGTCAAGCTGTTTGTGGATACTTTTAAAAACTATATTCATAGGCAATATATTTACACACTTGTATTCCAGAAGTTAAATGCATTCGTATCCACACTCTTAGGCAAACCTAAAAGAACATTTAATAGTAAATGAAGAGGATTGCAGAAAGTTTCTCTGCATGTTGGAGAAGCCAAATTTTGTGCTGGCCCAGAGAAACTCTGGGTACTTATGAATGATAATCTCGTCATAACAAGGAAAAGACTTGTTCCCTAAATACCCCCAGACCTTCTTACTATTGTTTGAAATCCTAGTATAATTATACTTCTTAATCATAAAGCCATGATCCAATTTAACATTTTAGCATCCCCATGAGCAAAGCACAAAGCTAAGATATTAGAGGAAAACAAGACCAAACATTTCATTACATATTAGATTTAAT